GAGAAAATTCACTAAGAGCTCGATATCTCCTCAGAAACAAGCCAGAAACCCGAACTTTTTTTACCGTAAGCATAACTCACTACGGGCTACAAGATGCACGAAACCCCGATTGAAAAGCGCTTCCGCACCTTGGAAGGTTCCCTAGTAAGTACTCTTTTCTCTTTGAAGTTTTCAATACATCATCGATTGTACCTTATGCACAAAATTTAAATTCAAAAGTGATTTTCAAGTTAAAAAGATTCTCTCGTTAATCATTTTGACTTTTCTCATCAAGAACAACATTTATGTATGATTCTAATGTTTGAATAAACATCTTGTGAAAGATCTACATATGATAAAAATAAAAACCAAACTTCATCATACCAATAATATCTAATGCTCTTGCTTCTCTTCTAAAATCAAATTCAATTTGAAATCCTTTTTCAAATTCATCAAACAAAGGTAAATGTTCTGGTTGTGCTAATCGAACAAATTTTTTTAAAGTTGAAAAATCCAAGCCAAAAAGTCTTCGTACTTCTGGATATTGAATTTTAACAATAACTGCTTTATTTGATCCTTTTAAACGAGCTTCATGTGCTTGTCCAATAGTTGCTGCACCAACAGGTTGTGGATTAAATTCAGAAAAAATTTCTTCTAATGGTTTACCAAATGCTTGTTCAATCATTTGTCTAGCATATTCACCTGATTGAGCAGGTACACCATCCTAATCGTATTTGCAAACAAAAAAAAATTAAAAATAAAATTCTACAACTAGTAGAATAAATTTTATTTTTACTTGTAATTGAGCAAATTTTTTTAAATAAGGTTTAGGTATAATATCTGGACGAGTCGATGCTATTTGTCCTAATTTAATATAAACACCTCGTTGATGGAGAACAACATTAAAAACATAATCACAATATTTATTATGTAAATTCGACCAAACTTTATCTTCTTCGTCGGAATTTTTAGCTGGAAATAATTTAAAATACATTTGTTGATATCGATAATGAATATAAACTGGAAGCATATGAGACCAAAAATAACTTGTTCGACGAATTTTTTCCCATTCAGGACCAGATTCATAGACTGTATACGATATAAAACCAAGACCAGTCAATAGAGTTGTACCAACAGTAAATTTTACTAGACGACGAGGTTGAATTATTGATCTGACTGATAATGATCGATATAAATTATGATTTAATGGTTTCGAACAAGTAAGTAATCGACGAAGTAACATTATTGAATAAGATGAACGTTACTGCAGCACTGACAATCGGTCTATGTATGATTCATTAGAATCAACAAAGCGACATCATATGAGTTGATTGGTTAAATAATTAACCTATTCGAAATTTAACTATTCCGATTGATTTTTTTTATTTATAATTGATATATACGGTACGTAAGCACATGGCTAAAATTTCTGAAAAATGTTGAAATTAAGTTTCGTACGAATTTTCTTTTCGTGATTTTGAAAATTTCATTTTAATTAAATACTAATTTTAGATGTAGAATATGACTACATCAGAATTTCTTCGGTTGTTATTACTATATAGTAGTTGATGATAATTATTTTATTTATGCTTATAACTTTCATTTAATTACTGAATTAGAGAAAAAATACAATGTTATTTTGAATGAGTTCCGTAAGTTAAAATGTAAAATTACAGGTGATATATATCATGGATGGTTTAATATTGTCGATGGATTAATTGTTAATCGTTCTAAACAAATTTTATTATATGAATTTGTTTGAAATATGAAGCACTATCGAAACAAGTCAAAACATATCTTATCAAAAGTATTATTTTGTAGATCTGTAGAGAGAAGAGATTTTTTGTGCAGGGTATGTTAATTTCTTCTTTAAACTAATTATAAAAATGGAATAAATTTCAGATATTGTATGTGCTAATAATCGTCCATTTCTTAGATAACAATTAAAAAATCTTTCTAAAAATTGAGTAATTAAAAAGTTATATAAAATTTTACTAACCTTCTTGCTTTCGAAACTAACTTAGCATGAACATATTTATACATATGTTTTGATTGCTTTTAAAACCGAAATGTGATTTATGATGTTGATGTTCCATTGGCATATACTGATAATTACTAATGAAATAAAATTATACACTTTTATTGAATTAGTTAAAATAAAACTTACGTATATTATAAATAACTTTTATCCTATCATTAAAAGTGTTAATTAAAGATTTTTGTTAGAAAATTAATATTCGAAAAAATAATTAGTAATTTATCGAGATTGGTTTTGACTTTACTTAAGGATTTCATCCATTTTAAAGTTTTGTACTATTAATGATGAGAACATAATTAAGAAGTTTCATTGATGCCATTGCCTAAAACGTTATTTGTGATTAGTCGAAGTTGAAAGAAACGAAAGAGTATAGATCGTTTCTCTCACTTTAGATTAAATAGCTCGATATCTTTCCTACAACTATAACCAGCTGTAGCTCTGAATAGAAGATCGACTTGATACAGAGTTCTTGCAATTGATTGCTTTAGCTTCTCAAAGACACTAACTACTCACAAGAGCAAGCCTATGCTACAACGCAGTCAACATGCTATCGGACGGATGTTTCGAGAAAAATAGCCATTAATGACTTGTTCAAAGTCTTTCTTTGGCTAATGATACTGTGATATGAAAGCTTTTGAATTAAACAGATGAACTCACGTCGACACCGATAAATAATAACATATTGTTGTTGTCGAAGAATAGAATTGAGTATTCTATGAAAAATCGTTCTCTGTTTGAAATAACAGAGAATTATGAATAATTGCAAGCAGTAAAAAATTTCTTACTCAAACAAAACGTCGATTCGGTTTTAACGGTCTTTTTTTTTATGTGAAAAAGTAAAAGAATTTAACAACATGTCATTCATTCTCGATAAGATTCTGTTTTTCGATCGATATATTGGTACGTAGATTTTTGAACTCAAACGTTAGAAAGCATTTCTTGTCAATTATATGAACGAAGAAAATAAAATAGAATTTGATAGTTTTTGATCTATTACATTTGTTGCACATACATGTGGCATGTAGAATCGCGTGTTTCTTCGTTAAATAATGATGTCATGAATATGCAAGCACTCTTTTTTTTCTTTTGTTCTGAATAACAAAACTGTTAAATTTTTGCCTGCAAAGACAGAATATTTCTTTGATGCATATATGTTAATTTTTTTTAATTATTATATCAATTGAAATTTATCCGTTTCTTATCATTATTATGATTTATTTTAAACACAAAACATTGATTTATAATCGTAATTTGATTATTGATATATAGTGGTTCCCAAAATTATTCGACCATGTTTATTTATCATGTTTTTTTTTTTCATTGCCATAAACACTAATAAAAACCCACATAGTGATATTTTTTACGAGAGCTTTATTTCCAACAAATATTGTCGAAGATAAAAATAATTGTAAGTTACAATTTACAAAATAGAATTATGATTGAATTACGCAGACTTATAGAACAAACAATTCTCTACAATATGGAGCATCTAGTAGCTCTGTACAAGATTTTATACGAAGTAACAGAAAACAATGACTTTTGTCCCTTATGTACGATTGATATGTTCGATCGAAAAGCATCGTAGAGATCTGGGAAAGATTTCATTTTTCAAAATTTTCTATTCAAATCACTAGTTGTATTTTTAATAGCATTTAATGCAATGGAAAATAAATGCGAAAACATCGGATTTAAATCCGAGTGTTATGTGTACTTCAAAAAATGAACAGGGATATTCACTTTGTTTTTTATCATCTGAGACATATCTAGTCTATTTGCTTTCTTCATGCAGTTTTTCTGCATTTTGAGACCTTTTTCAGG